ACCTTTGGGTTAGCAGCTGAGCTCTTAACCACTGCGCCCCAAGGGGTCCTCTGTACTAAAGTAAGGCTAAATAAGAACCATATGCACCTGTTCTGACTTACCTACAAATTCTTAAAGGCACACTCAGGAACTGATCTTGTTCATAACCTAGACACTACCTGCATGTGTGTGTATATAAATTTTTTTCGGAAGCATTTAAGAGTTAAGTTGCAGACATCGTATCTTCAACCCCAAACTTCGGTGTGCCTTTCCTAACAAGGGCATTCTCTTACAAAACCACAGTAATCCAATTCAGAAAATGGAACGCTGATGAAATACTACTATCTAATCTACAGTCCATATTCCAATTTCATGAACTGCCCCAGTGATGGCCTTTACAGCATTGTTTTTCACGGTCCAAGATTCGGTCTGAAATCACCCACTGCATTTAGCCACGATGTCTCCTTGTTGGGGTTGTTGTTAGCTGCCGTCAAGTCAGCCACTGACTCACAACAAGCCTATGCACAACAGAAAAAAACACTGCTTGGTCTTGTGCCATCCCATCCCCACGATTAGTTGCAGATGGGACCGTTGTGATCCATAAGGTGATTTTGGATGTAGATTGCCAGGCCTTTCTTCCTAGTTTGTCTCAGTCTGGAAGCTCTATTGAAACCTTTTCAGCATCATAACAACATGTGATCCACTGACAGACAGATGGTGTCTGTGCATGACAGGCACTGGCCGGGACTCAAACCCAGGTCTCCTACATGGAAGGCGAGAATTCTACCACTGACCCACCACTGCCCCCATCATGCCTCTTTAGCCCTCTTTAATCCAGAGCACTTCTTTCTTTCTTTCTGTTTCCTGACACTGACATTTCTGATGAGTACAGGCCCAGTGAGGTGGTAGACGGACCCTCCGTTTGGGCTTGCCGGATGTTTTCTCACTATTAAACTGAGATTGTGTGCTGCTGGCGGGAATGCCTGCCAAAGTGATGCTGACCACACTGTATTTGAATAATCCACTCAGCTGCCTTATTCGAGCGCCAGCAGAGCTGGTGTGTGGACGATGCACCTTCTATTTCTTGGACAGAACATGGAGAGGGGATCCGGGCCAACCAGCATTGGTTTCCTGTCAGTCTTACCAAACTGCTGCCTCTCCACCACATGAAAGGCCACCCCTGTGCCCTGCTCCTGGGTCTCACTTAGAGGAAGCCCCATCCCTGCCCCTGGCCCAGCGTACCCTGCTCTCACCTGCCTTATGGCATGTCTGTAATGCTCTTGGATGCCCTTGGTCGGCAGCTGCTGGCAACAGCGCAGCAGGTACCGGTAGAGCTGCAGTGGCCTCTGGACCAGCTCTGCCCCCGGAAGTGGGGCCATCTACAAGATCCGCTGCCCCTGTAAAATATACAGCATCACTTCTAAGGCATCAAGCCAATACTCAGCCCTGGTCCCTAGGTCCCAGCGGTCTGTGAAGCAGGACAGTGTGGAAGCCAGGCTCTCCTTGTCCCCATGGTGCCTGGACCTGGGGCTGGAGCTGGGCGTTCAGTCCTGCCTAATGCCCAGCCCAGAGCAAGGCCCCAAGACCGAGGGCGAGCGTGGAGGGCGATGTGCAACCTCGTGTCTGGTTTCTTCTTTAGCAAACCTACCTCTGGGTGTGAGGAGATGTCACTGACGGAAGAAGGGGCAGCAAGCAGGAGGACTCTGCCCAGCAAGTGCTGAGAAACCAGCTCGGACTTCAGCCAGGCACATACTACTGAGGGCAGCAGGCAGCGGAGGGAGAATGCCCTGAGGTCTAGCCTCGTTACTCAAGGTGTGGTCCTAGGCCAGTAGCACCGGCATCACCCAGGAACTTTTAGAAATGCAGAGTCTTGGGCTCCACCCCGGACCTACTAGACGGAACCTGCGTGCATCAAGATGCCGAGGAGAGTCACATGTACCTCAAAGTTTCAGAAGCCCAGGTCTAGAGGGCTCTGCATGAAGAAGCTGCACACAGAGTTGTCGTGGTGTGCAAGGCCTGGGCACAAGGTTTCATTTTACTGTGTGTTATTAATAAGAATGCTATTTACTGAGCACTTGTACTGTTTTATTCACTTTACATGTGATTAACACACTTAATCCACAAAACCTATAAGACAGGTACTATTATTAACCCTGACTTACACTGAAGAAAACTGAGGCACAGAGAGATCAAGTAATTTACCCAAGGTCACACAGCTGGTAAGGGTCGAGCTGGCATTTGAACCCAGGTAGTCTGGCTCCAGAGGCACTTTTTAAAGGTATACTGAGGTATGCTGTTGTTGTGTGCCATCAAGTCGATTCTGACTCATAGCGACTCTGTAAGACAGAGTAGAACTGCCCCATAGGGTTTTCTAGGCTGTGATATTTACAGGAGCAGATCTCCAGGTCTTTTTGTCCTGCAAAACTGCTGGTGGGTTCGAACCGCTGACCTTCAGTTAGCAGCCGAGCACAGAACACCGCACCACCAGGGTTCCTTATACTGAGGTATAGCCGATTGCCGTCAAGTCAATTCTGACCCTATCGGACAGAGCAGAACTGCCCCATAGGGTTTCCAAAGAGTAGCTGGTGGATTCAAACTGCCAATCTTTTGGTTAGCAGCCTGAGCTCTTAACCACTGTGCCACCAGGGCTCCATACTGAGGTATCATTGACATATAATCAACTGTACATATTTAACATGTACAGCTTGGTCTTTTTTTTTTTAATTGTACTTTAGGTGAAGGTTTACAGAACAAATAGGTTCTCATTAAACAGTCAGTACACGTATTGTTTTATGACAATGGTTAACAACCCCACGACATGTCAATATTGCCCCTTCTCAACCTTGGGTTCCCTATTACCAGCTTTCCTGTCCTCTCCTGCCTTCCAGTCCTTGTCCCTGGACTGTTGTGCCCCATTAGTCTCGTTTTGTTTTATGGGGCTGTCTAATCTTT